TACTCAGTTAAGCAAATACAGGTATTTAAGGTTGATCAAAAAATTAAACATTAACTGTTCCTTTCAACAAAGCAATAGAAGTCAGTAGTACAACTGTTACCCTGTGTGTGTGTGTGTGTGTGTGTGTGTGTATATATATTTTTTCCCTTCTTTCTTTTTCTCTTTTCCCTCATCCCAGTTGTTCCCTCCCTTTGAACAGTTTCTTTCCCTTTCACAATATCTACTATACCTTTCAGATTTTATTTACTCTTTCAGGTTCCTACACTAGTGAGACAATACAGTATTTACACATGTGGGTCTGATTTATTTCACTTATGAGTACGGATTCTAGTTGCATCCATTTACCTATGAAAGCTTCAAGTATATCTTTCTTTATAGCTGAGTAATATTCCATTATGTAAAAATACCACATCTTTTTTTATCCATTCCTCAGTGGATGGGCATTTGGGTTGCTTCCACAATTTAGCTATAACAAACTGAGCAGCTATAAACATGGGTGTACATATATCATTGTGGTATGATGTTGGAAGTTCTTCTGGAATATTTTTCCCTTTTTATTGATTCGTTTGACAGTACTGGGAATTGAATGAAGGATATTCACAGAGAATTACATCCCCAACCCTTTTTTAATTTTTTATTTGCTAAATTCCGTAGGCCTCGGTGATGTAGGCCTGCCAGCCTGCTGGGATTAGAGAGGTGTGTAGTGCACCCATCTGTCTAATTTACTTTCTTTCTTTCTTCTTCTTTTTTTTTTTTTTTTTTTTTTTTTTTTTTTGTCTTTTTGAGACAGGGTCTCACTATGCAGTTCAAGCTGGCCTTGAACTTGCAATGATTCTCCTGCCTCAGCCTCCCAAGTGCTGGGATTACAGGCATGCACCACTGCACCCAGCTCTAGTTTATTTTCTTTATTTAGTTTTTTGATCCAAGATCTCGCTATGTAGTTCAAGCTAGCTCTGAATTCACGTGATTCTCCTACCTCAGCCTTCTGAGTGCTAGGATTACAGGCATGCACCACCATATTTGGCTTCTATTTACATTTGTTTGTTTTTCTCTTTTTTGAGACACGGTCTCGCTATGCAGTACAGGCTGGCCTTGAGCTCACTTTGTAGCCCAGGCTGGCCTCAAACTGGGAATGATTCACCTGCCTCAGCCTCTTGAATGCTAAGATTACAGGCGTGCTCTATTTACTTTTTAAATGGGTTCATAATAAACATATATACATATAAATGGGTTCATAATATGTATATATTTATATTTGTACACACGTTTATGTGTGTATGTATTTGTCTGTATCTACATTTACAGGTATAGATTTAATTTAATTTCTGGGATTTGAGAGAGGATTTTTGCTTTGTTTTTGCACCAAAAATAGGACTTCCATAAATCTCCTTATGAGAAAATTATTGAGCGACTGAATGACTATATTGACCTTGACTTCAATACTTAGGGAGGAGGTCTTATCAATATTGTCAATACCAGGGGCTGGGGGTTTAGCTCAGAGGCACGGCAAGCACAAGGTGGTGAGTTCGATCCCCGATACCAGAAAAAAAAAAAAAAAAAAGAACATACAAATGGAACCATTATTTTAGGGGGCTGGGGATTTAGCTCAGTGGCACAGCGCTTGCCTGGCAAGCACAAGGTTGTGAGTTTCAATTCCCGGTACCGGAAAACAAAACAAAACAAAACAAAATTGTCAATACCATCCCTGTTTCATTTATTTATTTATTTATAATTTTTTTATTATTTTTTTTTAGATGAGACAGGGTCTCACTGTGCAGTTCTCACTGGCCTCAAACTTCCTATGGAGCCCAGGCTGGCATCAAACTCACAGCACTCTTCCTGCCTCAGCCTCCCAAGTGCTGGGATGACAGGTGTGCACCACCACACCCTGCTCATCTCAGTTTCATAAATGAGAAAGTAGACGTGCCAAGATTTATCATCTAGCAAGCACTGTCCACACCGCACAGGCAGTGCCCATCCCGCAGCACAACTGCCTTCTGGACTTGTTTTCTTTCCTTCTGTGGCACAAAGAAATGTATGAGGCAGATGAGTATGTGTGTGTTTAAATACACGTGTGACCTTAGCTCAATCACTCATTGTAATCGTCTCTGTTTTCATCTTAAATTCCTTCCTCAGAAGGAAGTTTTATCGAAACTTACCACACTTTAGTGTCTGCAAAAATGTCTGCTTTGTATAAAAATGGAGCACAAATTTAAAGAGCATTTTATACAGGACAAAACCAGGTGCTTACCAGTGTTTACTCTCCAACCAACATACTGATGCTATTTTGTTGAACTCACCAACCATGACTCTTGCAATACCACAACTAAACACAAGAGGGGGTTCAGCTTTGCTTTTGTCTCAGTGGCTGGGTCATTTGTAAGAAAGTAAATAACATTTGTAAGAAAGTAAATAACAAATATTTGAGGTTAAAAATCCCTGATAGATTTTTTTCTTTACTTCTTTTATACATTATTTGTGTACATTACACGTGTTGTTTTAAGTGTTGTGAAGCAGTAAAGGGTTATATTCTTTTTCAAAAGATAATAACAAGCCGGGCGTGGTGGCGTATGCCTGTAATCCCAGCACTCGGGAGGCTGAGACAGGAGGATCGTTGCAAGTTCAAGGCCAGCCTGGGCTACAAAATGAGCTCAAGGCCAGCCTGAATTGCATAGTGAGACCCTGTCTCAAAAAAAAAAGATAATAGGGGCTGGGGATTTAGCTCAGCGGCACAGCGCCTACCTGGCAAGCGCAAGGTTGTGAGTTCGATTGCCGGTACCGGAAACACCCCCCCCCCCGCAAAAAAAAGATAATAACAATTCTTATTTTTTTTATTTTAATCTGAGCAATATTTCTTTTCTTCATCTTCATTTATCAGCTGTTATATATTGATTTACTTTTGGTGGGGCTGGGATTGAACCCAAGGGCTCACACATGCTAAGCACTCTTACAGTGTAACATTTTTCCCCCAGTGATGTTGGGGATTGAACCCAGGCTGCATTCAATCACACTCCTCATGCCTCAGCCTCCCAAAATGCTGGGATTACAGGTATTTCCACATGTCCAACTTCTTACAGTATTTCTAATGTTCTTAGCTAGCAAAAAACTTTTTTTGTCTTTTTTGAGACAGGGTCTCACTATGCAGTTCAGGCTGGCCTTGAGCTCACTTTGTAGCCCAGGCTGGTCTCTAACTTGCAATGATCCTCCTGCCTCAGCCTCCCGAGTGTTTGGGATTATAGGCATGCACCAGCAAAATTAAAGGTGTCCCTTTAAACCACTGTGTTCGCTCTTGCATGGTAGCCCACCCTGAGGTTGCTGGGTATACTTTTTGTGGGGGCAGGGTCTTGCTATACAGTTCAGGCTGGCCTTAAATTCACTATGTAGCCCAGGCTGGTCTAGAACTCACAGAAATCCTCCTACCTCAGCCTTCTGAGTGCTGAGATTACAGGTGTATGCCTGTAGGATCATCTGGCTGTAGGATATATTTCTTTTTCTACTTTTACTTGGCCCAAACTCACTCTGCAGACTCTATTTATTTTCCTCTTTTTAATAAAGCTTTGCTACTATTAGAAGAAGGAAGAGGAAGAGTTGTTAGTTGGGAGTGGTGGTGCACACCTGTAATCCCGGCACTTGGGACGCTGAGGCAGTCAGGAAGATTGGCACGCATTTGAGCCAGCCTCAACTACATAGCAAGATCCTGTCTCAAAAAACAACAAACAGGGCTGGGGATTTAGCTCAGCGGCAAAGCGCCTGCCTGGCAAGCGCAAGGTCGTGAGTTCGGTTCCTGGTACCGGAGAAAAACCAAAAAAACAAAACAAAACAAAAAAAAACAACAAACAAATAAAAAATTGTCACTTTAAGTTTGTTTCAGAAATACTTTGAGAATTTTCTAGTCTGTGCCTTTACTTGACAGACCTGAAGCAGTTACTGTCTTCTGTAAGGTTTCCAGTACTGAGGCAAGAAAAAGGTGTCTTGGTGCTTCCTGTCTGACTCACTGGGCAGCCAGGACCAAGTGGGGAATAGAAGAAACAGAGAGAATTTTTTTTTTATCTTTTTGAGACAGTGTCTTCCTATGCAGTTCAGGCTGGCCTTGAACTCACTTAAGTAGCCCAGGTTGGTCTGGAACTCAAATGGATCCTCCTGCCTCAGCTTCCCAAATTCTGGGATTACAGGTGCATGCCACTTGATGCCCCAGAGAGAATTTTTGCAACTTAGAAATAATCTTGTTCACATGTAATCCCAGCACTAGGGAGGCTGAGGCAGGAGGATCAGGAGCTGGAGGCCAGCCCAAGCTATATAGTGAGCCCCTGTCTCAAAATAAAAAAATAAGGGGCTGGGGATTTAGCTCAGCGGCAAAAGCGCCTGCCTGGCAAGTGCAAGGTCGTGAGTTCGGTTCCCGGTACCGGAGAAAAACCAAAAAAAAAAAAAATTTAAAAATTTTAAAAAAATAAAAAAATAAAAGATTTGGGATGTGGTTCAAAGCTACAGAGTCTCCGGATTCCACCCCCAGTACTAAATGAATAAATAAATTCAGTTTTACTGCAAAAAAGAATTTAAAATTTGAATTTACATAAGAAGTGTTGGGAAATTATTTCACCCGCACATACCTGTTCTTTTAGAAGTTTAAAGGTTAAATACTAATTTTTAAAAGCAAGTGATTACCGCCCCCCTGTACTGGGTATTGAACCCAGGATCTCAAGCATGCTAGGGAAGCAAGCTACCACCAAAACCAGTGGCTCTTAAAATTAAAAATTTTTAAAAAAAATTGTGGTCTTTAAAAAGAAGCACTTTTTAAATTTGTTTTGGTTTGAGATAGGGTTTCACAGGCTGGCCTTAAACTTGTTGTGATCCTCCTGCCTCAGCCTTTGAATGCTAGGATTACAAGCGTGTGTAACAACGCCCAGCTAAAACGAAACAATAAGACGCAAGAGTCTTACCTTTACCTGTTAATGGGAAACAGGGCCAATGATACAGAAAAAACTACACTTCCCATGATACCCCAGAAAAGGAAGGAAGTGAGACTAGACACTTCCCGTCATTGCTTATAGACCGGAAGTCAGGAACTTAGTTCTCTTTCCCATCTTGCAAGGTAAGAATGGCGGGCCTCTGTACGATACTCGCTTCCAGGACCCCAATCCTTCGTCATCCGAAGTTAGAGGACTTTAAGTCGACACCTACAGGGGTTGGACATCCCCAGGGTTATCTGAGAGGCCTCCTGGACGCCTCATTTCTTTCGTCTGGGTTGACGACGGGGAGCAAAGAGGGTGAGATGGAGTGCGGTAGACGCTCCGGCTGCTCGCAACCCGCTTGGGCTGGGAGGACGCGCGGGTTCGGAGAGACGCCACCGCGAGCTGACGAGGCTAGAGCGGCAGGGCCACAGCGCCTGCCCGGTGATCCTGGGCCCGGGTGCCGCAGTGTGCCTCCGAGCTGGTCTCAGCCACGTTCCGATTTGTGGCACAAGCCAAAAAGTGATTTCTCGTTTCTCCACGTCCCGACCGGAAGTCGCCCGGTCGTGTGGCTGAGTCTTGGCCGAATGTGACAAATTGGTGGCCCGGTTCTCTTAAACCGAATTTCTTGACTTAGACAGTGGTCTTAAAAGTTAAGCGCAAAGGCTTTGAAAGCAATCGGTTCCAGGTTCTAGACTGTCGGCTTCCTAGTTTTGGAGACTGTTAAAAAACTTAGCTCGAGGTTTCTAATTCGCAAAACAGGACCAAGTCCCGCTAAATATTTATTAAAAGCCTACTAAGGTGTTTCCAAAACCTCACAAGTTCCTTACGCGTTGGGGAGATAACCCCTAAAGTGATTACATGAAGGTTAGGGTAGAGGTCTGCGATTTTGCAGGACTGTATCTTAAGGAGAGAAGGCTCATAGGAAAGTTGAGCCCATCTGTGAACGGCTTTAGCTTTGCCTTGTTGTGGGATGGTTGGTGAAATGCTTTTTCTTTTTAATTGGTAGATGGCGGGCGAAAAAACTGAGAAGCCAGATGCTAAAGAGAAGAAACCCGAAGCCAAGAAGGCTGTTGCCGCTGGCACTGCTAAAAAAGCAAATGTGAAAAAGGCTAAAAAATCCAAGAAGGGACAG